GCTCCCCTGTCGGGCAGGACAACGTGTCCCTCACACGTTCTCCACGTGCTCCCCTCCGCGGGGAAACGTCACCGACCAACTGCCCATCTCCGAGAGAGCAGGTCAAACCCACTTTCCGGAGATCACGGGACAGTTGGACTAGGGCGAAGACCACGTCCTGGTCTTCATTACGCCACGTAAGCCCTAGCAATCACCTGAGTTGGGCCTGACAATCCAGCTCAACACAAGTGACCGTTGGCCCAGCGCTGAGGTCTCTCTATAAATACCCTCTTTCACAAGAGGCTCAGGTAATTCACTTCTTACCCCTTTTTCTGTATTTGCTGTCACTCTGTCTAAACTCTTACTTTGGCATCGGAATGCCTTGCAGTACACCCCCATCTCCTTTCCCCAACACTGGTGAGCCGGAAACAGATCAACGGCGTGTGGCAAGTCCTTGGTCCCCTTCTGATCAGTTCATATCAAAAACTAAAACACAAAAATGTCATTCCCTGAAAAAAAAAAACCAAAATACCACTCTTTCTCTTTGAATTTGGCCATTGATTAAATGATTTTTAAAAAAATTTATGCAAAAACATGGGCTGAGGCGCTGAGCCGATTGTTGGCCGAACCATTGAAGAGGTCTTTAGCCATTATCTTATTACACCCAACTTTAAGAAATTTTTTTTTTTACAGGTTCGACCAACCATTAGCCGAGTTTAAAATATACAAAATTTTTTTCAAATAATCGTCCAATCAATAGTGGAATCTAAAGAGAAAATGTGACATTCTAATAATTTTTTTGGATAGGGACATTTTAGTGTTTTTAATTTCAAATAATAACATGTGGATAAAAAAATCTTAGTGTTTTCATTCTCCTGGCATTCCTATGTTGATAGGTACATTAATTATGATAATTAGTGAATTTTTTACACACGTTACCTTAGCTTAGCTTTGAGCACTACCACTACTAGTATATTAATGTTATACTACATCCATTTAAGTTACCTTAGCTTAGCTTTAACCACTACTATTTCATAGCTATATTAAATATTAATGTTAGACTTTATTCACAAGTAAAACATTATCAGTACACATTTTCCATCCATTTTTTTGTTACTTTTTCTTTTTCTTTCTAGAACACCAATTCACCATCATCATCATCATCATCATCATCATCATCATTATTATTATTATTATTATTATTATTATTATTATTATTATTATTATTATTATTATTATTATTATTATTATTATTATTATTATTATTATTATTATTATTAATTCACTTTTATATTTAATATTAATAATAAATTGATTTATTTATCAACCTATAAACTATTTATTTAAATAAAATAAATTATTAAAATTTTAATAATTCAATCAATTTATAAATTGAGTAAATAAGAATAAATAATTAAAAAAGTATCATATCATAATCCTACAATATATATCAAATTAAAATAGGGTGTTGGATCTTTATCGAAGAATTAAAATTAAAGGTTCTTAGTTAAATAATTAAAAAAAATAGAGGTGTTACAACAATACTATAAAGTAAGATTTTCATTAGAAGTATTGATCAAGCCTATCTGATTTGGATGATGATAATACTATATGGTAAAGTCGTCGTCTGTGGTGGCAATCTAGTTGTGGTGTTTGGAGATCAAGATATTAAAATCTATCTTTGGATGACAATACCTAATATCAAACGGCGCTAGGTAGTGAAGATCTTTGATCAAGTTATGTGTTTGATAATGGTTTATATAATGAAGAGTTACCTAAGACTCATCAAAGAGAAGATTCAAAGTTCTAGTAAAGTGCTAAAGTCAAAGTTAATGTAGCAAGGAACCTGAAACTTGAGAGTTGTGAAATAGAGAAAGTGTGAAAACTCGTTGTCGAGTGATCTATTTAAGTAAAGGTATAAGATTAATTCTCAAATTTAATAAGACAAAACACACACACACATACACTTTCGAACAATAGAAAACTCTCACTTATTTTATTAAATCAACTGAAAATTGTTTTTATGCCTAGATAATGGTTTAGAGACTCGTTCTAATCAATTAGAAGGATTGTTCACTTGACATAATCGATTATCCCATTAGGATAGTCGATCATCTCTTTTGAAAACCTTAATGAACGATTATTATGTCTCTTAATCGTCTAGTGACATTGCTTTTAAAAATATTTTTTTTATACTACATACTCGATTATTCTTGTGGCAAAATTGATTATAAGCTTAAAAGACCATGAATTATTTTCTCTTTAGCCACATTTTGTTATATAAATAAAGGGTTTCCCTTCCGTTCATTACACACTAAAAAAATGTATTATAATACATTTCTCTCACTTTTTTCTTTTTTCTATTTTATTTTTCTCACTTTGTCTTAGTATTTTTTAGAGTGAATTTTTTTATCAATGAGGTGTTTGGGTTTAGTGTAAAGTTATTATTATAATATCTAATTGTGAGAAGTTTGTTTTAGTTGTGAGCTTAACCAATTGAAAAGCTCTTGTTTGGTTATTGAGTTGAACCTGTAAAAATCATTGTTTAGTTGGGAGACCTACATATTTAAAACTCTTGTTTGGTTTGTGAGGTTATCCTGGTGTTAAAAGCTCTCAGTTGGTTCAAGATTGTTTTTTGGTTGAGAGGTCTTCATATTTAAAACCAGAGTCGTCTCAAACTTTTGAGAGGTCTTGCATAAGAAGTTGAAGTAAACCTGTGAAATTTTCTTAATAGGCCCTTTTAATCGTAAATTAACCATGAAATATATGTAAAGAAACCCTTTTTGCCATAGAATAATCTTAAAAAATTGTGAGGCACTGTATTGTAGGTCGTCTTACACACCCTCAAAGATGACCCTGGTTAAAACTCTCGTGTTTGGTTGGGAGAAAATCCAATAGAAAACTCCAGTCATTTTGAAAGGACGTTTGTGGGTAAAAACTTCCAAAAGCTCACATCATTACTCTCAAGAAAAAATTCTTGAGTTGAAGAATATGTCAAATTATTAAGTTGAACATCTATGAATCTTGAGTGTATCTTTCTCTTCCTTTATCTCTTTACATTTTTTGTTATTTACTTTCGATGCATTTCTTTTTGTTTGATTTTCTCAATTTCGCTGCTTATCTCTTGTTTGTTTTATAAATTATTTTTAACTCTATTTTTGTCAAAGATTTTTATTCAAACATCATTTTTCAAATCCACACAATTCATCCCTCTCTTGTGCAAAATATTTCACACATTTTTATATCTCAATTTCATCATTTTGTTTAATCGTTTTGTATTTTTTTTAATAAATATTTACTTTTTAGTTGACTCTTGGTCCTTTTCAATAAAACTTAAGGTTATATGTCCAACAAACTAAAATTATTTAATCTAAAAGAATAACATTTTATCCATAAAAAAATGTTTAAAAGAACTTCTATTTTCTTTTAATATCCTATATTCACAACCTTTGATTTTTTTTAAGAATAACAAATAAACAAATATCAGCCTACGCAAAAACAAATTCATAAAAGGAGAAAAAGAAGTCAAAATTAAAAAACAAAATTCACAAAATCATAATTCAACTTCTAATTTTATAAGGACAAAATTATAATCTCTCATATAATTACAATTTTAAAGAGAAAATTACAAACCCTCTCAAATATAATTTTTGGACAGAAAAATTGCAAACTTTACCTTAACTATAATTTTTAGACAGAACAATTAAGAACTTTATTTTAACTACAATTTTTGACAGAAAAATTGTAAACCCTCTCTTAATTACAATTTTTGAACGAAAAAATTGTAAATTCTCTCAACAACACTTTTTTACAGAAACATTTTAAACCCTGTCTAAACACACAACTAACCAAATTTTCAATACACCCAAAAATTACATTTTGTTGTTGTTTAAAAAATTTAAATTAATTATCTCTTTATATATGAGTACTCCAATTACATTTTCATAAATATATTATTTGACCCAACATTTTTGATAATGTAGAATATTTTAAACATAAATATCTATTCTAAAGAAGAAGAAAAAATAGTGCAACATTTATTTAGAAAATTATAAATTTATTTGATTGCAATTTAAAATGAATTACATTTACTAAAATATTTTTTATAATTATAAATAATAAAATAGGTAGGTGAAATAAATACATTAAATACAAATATATTATTGAAAGATACACAATATTTTATTTATAACAGATAACAACAAATAATTTGAAATAATTTGTTTTTAAATTAAATACGTTTTTATAAGATAAAACAGATTGTAGTGATTAACACATTTTAAAATAAATTGTAATTATTTGATATTAGAATTAACTTTAAAATCGGCTTATTCGATTCAGCGGATCTGATATGTAAAAAAGTTATTAATATTTATTTTTTATTATATTTTTTATTATTTATTATTTAAACTTTTTCAACTTTTTAAATTTCTTTTGACATATTATTTATTAAAAAGAGTATCTTATAAAACAATTTATAAAGTTTCTTTTCTATATAATATTTCTTAATTTATAAGAAAATATTAAAAGTGACGTTGTGAGCAGGATCGGCACGTACAGTTGGCACGTGAGTTTCTAGAAGTTTGACAAAATTTTCTTTGTTTTACAAAAATATTCAAAAGTTGTGAACTGTTTGTGAGGTGCTTTTGTCCTTTTTCCATGCTTCATTCAATTTGGTCAAAAAGATCTAACATTTTCTAAACACAACCACATGGTCAATAAAACACACCCTTCTTTCACAATTTTCGTTGAATTTTCGTTGATTTCTTGTTTCATACAAATTTGTTTTTGATTTTAACCTAATCACATCTCAACAAACCTGTTACTGTTTCATTTGGAATTTTCTAACATCGCCTTTGACTTCCTAGGTACTGATTTTTCATTCTTAAGTGTTTTGTTTCTTCTTTCTATCTTGTTTCATGGGTGTCTCTATTTACTGTATGTATATGTCTTAGGTTTTTGTTTCATTTTTTTTCATCGTATTTTATTTTTTGATTATTGGATTTGATTTAACAGTTACTATGCTTAGGTTGGTTTGTATCAAAGGTGAAGGTGGTGGTGAGAGCTGGATAGAGATGGCTCAGAATCCAAGAGTTATGCCAAACTGTGTTTATGCTTCTAATCCCTATCATGAATGCACTTCAAATTGTTTGCAAAAGATCAAGGAATCTAATTCCAAGCCACCTAAGAGTAAAAAGAGTTTTGGTTAGTTCTATTTCTTATTTGTTTGCTGATAGAAGCACTTTTGGGTGAGATTATGAAAATAATTTATGGTATTAGCAATTTGTTTTGACGATAGCTTGTGAAAATAACTTATATCTGACTTGAAAGGAGTTTGTTGTTTTGTTATATTTTGTTATAGAAATCGGTTATGAGTAAGCGCTTTCTGATAAACGTTAGGGTTACTGCATGGGTCTCAAATTTGTCACGATTAACTAGGGTCTCACGGGCCGTCTTTAAGGGTGTGCAAGGAGTGATACCGCACAAGGCCTCAAATTTTACGATTGAACCGTGCTTAAATTGAGCATCAGAACCAGCGTTATCAAATTACGTCGCCATGCCCGCTATGGCGGATATACATGGCGGTTTTTGGCCTCGCCGCAATGGTATATATCGGCCAATATTACAGGTTTTTCCGTCATAATCCGCTATAACAGCGTCGCAAAGCGGCCGCTATGGCGGGATTTTGGCTCTCCGCCATCGACAACACTGCTCATAACACATTTGTTATAGTCAGGTCTGATTTAAAGGCGTGCAAGACAGACTACCGCACAAGGCCTCAAATTTGTAACAATTAAACTGTGGTTAAATAAGACCTCCTAACATATTTTTCACGGTTAGACCGAAATAGAACCCTTGTAGTTTTGCCAAAGCTGACTGTAACCAACCTACGCATGTCCTACAACTGATAAACGATTATGCTAGAAGTACTTAATTAAGCTCTTTTTTTTATAAACCGGATATTCTCTCTGCGCGACCGTAGAGACTAATCCCTCGAGGTAGAAAAGGGCACAATAGATGACAAAACTCTCTCTCTCAAGAGAATTTAACATTGTTGCGTGCCCAAGGCTGAGTTCAAACCCATAACCTCTATTAAGCTGTTTGTCCGAACATAAAATTACTTAGTTCTACGAAATAAAACACCATTTCTGCATTATTGGTGACTTATCCTGAATTTTTAATCTTCCTGGATTTCAGTTATTCATAAGTATTTGGTCTATGGCATCCAGTTATGCCTAAACAAAATCACTTTTATAGTTCTATCAAATGTAATAACTGCTTACCACTATATATTGCTTTTCTGTTTCTCAATTTTACTTTCTCTTGACACTTATCAAATCTGTTTTGTTTCCAAAGCTTATCGCAAAAGCGTTACGGATCTTGGTAAAACCAAAAAGACGAACGAAGAAAAGCGCACGCTCTCAGGCTGTCCTAAAGCATCTAATCCTTACCATCAGTGCGATGTAAATTGCCAGAAAATAAAGTCGGGAGCTGATTCAGGTCTTCTTTCATTTTCTATCTGCTATTTAACGATATTAAATTCAACAACAGTGAATGTTCAACCATGAATGTGTTTCTGATTACAATCTTCTCGAACTTTAGGTGTCATTTCGTCGAAGTTTGATAGGAGAATTACGATAGGTTCTAAGCCTGAACTCCCGGTTCTTGACAATATTCCAGACTCAAAAGTCGGAGCTATTTATCTCAGAGATGCTGCATCGCCAATATCAAAATATTACGAAACGAAAAAGTTGGAGCCAAAAAGCAATGAGATAGTACCCGCTTCCGATGTCAAGGTAACATCGACATCTCTTTTCTTGGAATTTGTTAATCTTCCTTGTTATCGTCATCATTTTACATGGATTCGCGAATCAATAAATGATGATATATTTTAATAATATGGTATCAGAGTTTGGTTAATCGGTGCATATAGTTGACTTTTCTCTTGCCGTTGTTTCTTTGGCAGCCTGGCAACGGAAAAGTTCAACCGAAGGATGGTTCCGATCATTTAGCCGGCACAATACCAACAAAGCAAGCAGGAGACAAGAACTCTTCGACAAAAGTTGTTCCAATTGCCTGCATCGACGACATTGGAGAAGGTTTAACGTCATCATCTGGTGCATCCAAGCACTTCAGTTATTCTGACATTGTCTGCGATAACGAGGACAGTGATGAAGAGGAGAGCGATTCCGTGGTTTCCGAGCGACGAGTTCCAGTTGGAAAATACCACGTGAAGGAAAGCTTTGCTTCTATCCTCCTATCCATCATTAAAAAGTACGGTGATATCGGCGAAAGCTGCCATTTGGAATCCGTCGTGATGCGATCCTATTACATCGAGTGCGTGTGCTTTGTGGTCCAAGAGCTGCAATCATCCTCAATAATGCACTTAACATCGTCCAAAGTCAAGGAACTGTTGGCCGTTCTTAAAGACGTAGAGTCCGCTCAACTTCGCGTGGAGTGGTTGCGTACGATTGTCAACGATATTGCTGAAAACATCGAGCTCATCAACGAGCACCAGACCGTGGAAACGGAGAAGGCCAAGTCTGATAAAGAAATGAAATCATTAAAGAAAGAGCTTGAATCAAAAACCGAAATTCTTGTTCAGAAAGAACAAGAGGTGGCGGATATTAAAACGAAGATCAACGGAATCAGAGAACGGCTCGGCGAGCTCGAGGTGAAGTCATCTGATTTGGAGAAGAACATGTTAAGTATCAAATCAAAGGTTGATAATTTGGATAGCAGATCATTGCTAGATGAACTACTTTGATTTTAATAATGTAAACTTTATAGGTAATATATGCATAACAAGTAGAATATGCAATGCAAGTGAATGAATGAATAAACTCATGGGAACTATATGATATATTTTCAAGCTAGGTAAAGCTATGATTATATGATAGTATTAGTAATACACATTAAACACATGCACTCTCAATGCTTTACTTTGATTTTTTATTTATTTAGAGGTAATTATTACAACAGCTTTGAGTTTAATAATATCTTTTTTCTGTACTGCTACTTTATATGATGATATTTCATGCGTTTGATACATTTTTTAATCCAATCTACTCATTAATGTAAAGAAAAACCAAAGGAAGTTAAGCAGGTCCAAACTAAGCATGATGATGCTCATGATAAATGTGTGGATTTTGTTATTATTTGTTCCAATTAGAGGATGAAGTTAACTCCTAAAAGAAGGGAGGAAGAAAGAAAATTTCTGTTAATACTTGCTTTATTCTATTCAGAATGTATGAAATTTTTTGTTAATACTTGCTTTATTCTATTCAGAATGTAACATACAATATATCAAAATTTTCCTTTGCTAGAAGGTTATTTCTCACACTAACAGTTTATGTTGGAGCTTTTTGTGGATGGGCAAGGACACTCATTCCAAAAAAGCTCCTGTTGCTCAGAATCATATCAGTGACCCTCTTTCTACATGTGGCCTGAACTTGATCTCCCTTCTGAAGTGGAACAAAGTAACGATTGGCAAACTCCTTTGAAATGTATGTAAAAAAAGGACAAATTATGGATTAGCCGGATACATATTTACTACTTAAAAAAGTGTGGACCCTATGACTTTTATTCCTGGTATTCATTGCTCTTGGATTATTAAAGTAATGTTCAAACATCGGAATATCCTTGTGCATTCCGATGTTTGGGGAGTCATTCCACACTATAGGTAAGTATGATACAAAGAAGATGTATCACATGCTGAGAGGGGTGAAACCTAAAATTTATGGGAGAAAACTTTTCTACGAGAACTATGCTAGACCTAGAGCGAAGTTCATCCTATGATTAACATGTCTTGATAGATTGTCCACTAAAGATTGGTTACACCATTTTAGGATAGTCATTAATGGCAAGTGTGTGTTTGGTGGCTTACATGAGAGCTCTCGTCACCTTTACTTTGAGTGTGAGATTATCACAGGAATTTGGCTCGCTATTCTTAAGCGGCTTAATGTGATTCATATTTCGGGGTGTTGAAACTTTGAACTTAATTGGATCTGCCAGCAGACGCGGGGGTAAGGGGTGCAGGAGTAAAATCCTGAAAATTGCTTTAGCTAAAGTTGTGTACGCAATTTGGGCAGGTCGCAACGGAATGATCTTTCAGAACAAGACGGTGGATTGCCTCCAGAGTAAGGATATTATCAACATCATTCTCTTGAGAGCTAATAGTAATAGAAAATTGGCTAAGTATTGTAGTAGATATTAAGTTTCGATCATAGTGTCTGTGAGTCCTGTTAGTCTTTTTGAAATTTCAAGAAACTACTTTCTAAATAATGGACTCCTTACCTTATACCCTTACATTTATCCCCTACTCGTGTTTTTAAAATATTTCCATTTATATTTCCATTTTGTCCTTTTAACATGTCAACTAACTTATCATTTAGTTTTTCCTATTCCCTCAAGATTTTCGAATTTAAAGAATTTTCACCCCCACATATATTTATTGGAGGAGTACTCTGAGAAAAGTCATCCGCTACGTTTTTTCTTTACCCGAGAACTTATTATGTTCTCTAGTGTCTATTTTTTGTACTTAATGATCTTTTTTGTATGTTCTCCGATTTGTAATGTTCTTTGGATAATTTGTCTAATGTTATCCAGTAACTTATTCGTAAAAAAATTTTAATTTAAATATTTTTTATGTTGTATAATTATGAGAATTCATTTACAAATATGAAATAAAAATTAAAGATTTGATACACGAGAAGAGGTGATAAAATGGATTAAGGAGGTTGGAATAAAAAATGAAGTAATTATTATGATCATTCGTTCAGATATCCAAACAGGCAAGAGAGCGAGAAGCAACAAAGTAATATTTGGTTGTGATAAAGGTGAGAAATACAAGGAAACATATAGTGGAGCATAAAGTGCCACTAAGAAATGTGGATGTCCATTCAAAATAAGGTCAACACCATCGAAAGATGGTTATGGATGGAAGATTGATGTAAAATATGGACTTCATAAACATGGTTTACCTGATAGATTAGAAGATCATTTGTTTGTTTGTCCGCTAAATGCATATGAGCAACAATATGTTGCTGATTTGACAAAGCGTCATGTTCCATCTAGACACATCTTGTTTTCCTTGCAAGAGTGAGATTTGGAGAATGTCACTCGGATTACACAAATATATAAATCTAAGAGTAAGTTATAAAAAGAGATAAGAGGTCCTAGAACTGAGATACAATATTTGTTTAAGTTGATAGATGATGCATGTTATGTTTACTGGAATAGAAGAAGAGATCACTCAGATATTACGAGAGATATTTTTTGGGTCCACTAAAAATGTTGGTTCAAAATGTGGTCAATATGTTATAATGACATGCAAAAGGCGATAAACATATTATGGGCGGAAGTTGTATGGGCTAGTGATGAGGTTGAGTATCATCAACGGTTGCAACAACTTGAGCAGACATGTATTGATTGTAGTGAATTTATTGATTATGTGAAAGATATATGGTTGACTCCTCATAGGCATAAACTTGTTAGAGCATGTTGCATTTGGTTAACATCACGACTAATAGGTATATACCATTAGTAGCTATAGTTTGTATTCTTTTGATGTTTAATGTGTATCGTACCTCAAAAAATACGATCCTTCGCAATGGTCGCGTAAAATTGTTTGAACAGAGTCACCACCGGACTTTATTTATTCCAACGAAGGAAAGGGAAAATATCAATAAAACCTTTAAAAAAGAAAATAGTCATCACAACCAACTTTAGGTTCGGGAGTCGATTACAGAAGGGGAAGGTATTAGCACACCTCACATCTGTTGTACTCAACGAGAACCTTTTAGTTAAACTCGCAATTGAATATTAGTTATCATAATTTGTTTTCTTCGAGTTATTGAAAAGATTAAAGAGAAAAGAGAAAAAGAAAAGAAACCACAAATTTTTTTTTATTAATGTGTGCCTGACGAGATTGCGGGTCTTGCTCCTACATATCTTCGGGTGCAATAGAGAATTCAAGACTACGTGGTTCTGGGGGAAGACTATGGTTGTTGGTTAGTATTTTTTAATGAACAAGTGTTTAAATTGCATTATAATGGTTAAACATTGAATTGTCTACTCTCTAGGGAGGCTTAAGCACTAGTTTGTGTACACATTAGAATGGACTAGACAATGTTCTTTTGCAAAAAGGTGTTCGATTGCACGAAGCGAAAATAATATGTTTGATTAGTTTCGATCGTCCGAGGGCGAGAAAATATAGGTTTGATGTGTTTGAATATTTTAAGTGATTGACGAATATTTAAACAGTAGGGTAAATGCGACCATCACATGAATACTCGGGAAAGGAGAAGAAAATTACTTCCACACAATCCTTTTAAATTGATTAATTATGAAATTTGTGTGGCGAATCAAGCCATGTTTCTTTAACAGACGACAAATATTCGAACGGTAGGTTAAGTGCGACCATCACACGAATATTTAAGAAAAGAAAAAAAAGTTACTTCCACCCTAATCTTTTTCTTCTACAAAAGAATTAACTTAATTCGATTATTTAATGTGTTTTAAGACGATTGACGAATATTCGAACGAGAGGCTAAGTGCAATTATCATCCAAATAATTAGGGTTACGAAGGATAAAAAAAGTCTAATCTAACATTTTTCAACCGATTTTATTAAAAAAAAAATTTAAATGCATTTGAAGAATTTCTGACGAAAAACAATAATCAAATGGATAGACTATTACAATCTATACCCAAAAATAATACAATTAAAATTCTTAACATGAGAAGAAATCTTGGGAAGCTACTTATCAAAATCATTTTTTTAAAAATATTTTATAAAAAAAATTGAGTTATGTTGAAAAATGAGTGAAAATCTAAATTATAGAGGAACTAAGGGTCAAATTACTTGTTTAAGCAAGTTACTTGATATAGAGAGAGCAAATTCTCAAAAGAAAAGGTGTATCAAATTAACATTCTAGTCTCAAATATTAATCACATATTAAGCACCGAAACATGAAACACATCGACCAAAAATTAAAATATTCACAATTTCATGCATGAACCTTGCGTAAACACTTAAACAATACTAAAATGGGTCAGATTATTTGGCTTGCTAGAGAAACATAACCGCACTGTATCATCATTATTGGATCACCTGGAAAAATAGTAATAAAATCCATCAATCAATTTATAATGTAAATAGATATAAACAACAAATAATTGTCATTAAAGTTAGACTTTTCTTAAACATTTTTACCATTGGCGCTCAAGTCCGAGCAAATTTTTCAATTTGACCGGTTATTTTACAAGAGTTTAAAAACTATATAATGCATCTTGAATTGTACTTGATACGTATAATTAGCATTCAACGTAACCATGAATCTTAATAATCATGAATCTTAAAATAATAACTTTTTAAATGATTAATTTATAATCATGGTTTTAAATTAGTATTCTAATATTAATGATAAATTGGTTTGGAGATTCATGACAATAGTTTGAATCTTTAATTAAAGGAAGATACTTTTAGTGACGGTTTTTGGGCTATAGTGATAGATTCTGGGTTTTGATGAATCTTCATCTTCTAAGATATTTTTAGTGACAATTTCTGATATGTAGTGATAGATTCTGGGTTTTGACATGAATTTTCATATTCTAAGATACTTTTCGTGACGAATTTTGGTTTTTTACATGAATTTTTATCTTCTAAGATACTTTTAGTGACAATTTCTGATATGTAGTGACAGATTCTGAGTTTTTGACATGGATCTTCATCTTCTAAGATACTTTTAGTGATAGTTTCTGGACT